TTTTTTGTTTGTATATATATTTTAAGCGCTGAATCTGTACAATGTAAGTTTAGTACCTTAACAACACAATTAGATTATTTATATAGAACCTAACCTTCTGATGTATTCAGGAGGACTTACAAATATATATTTACAAGTATCCCTAAACTAAACTTATCTAATATTTTTGGCGCATAAATGGAATTTTATTTTATTTTTTTCAATTTCTTTATTTATAACCTGTTCTTTCTTGAACATTCAATAAATTGGATAGTACACATTCAGGGCGCTACACATTCCCGACTCAGCTTATTTTGGTTGCCTCTGGAAAAATGGCAACACTTTTTTTTTTTTTGTAATGGCAACACTGTTACCAAGATTCAATCCAGCCGAGTTCACCATGCTAAAGCATAATTTTAGGTGCATTTTTCAGTAAGTAAAGTTAGTATCACAAATTAACGCTAGAGGGCGTCTATACTGAGTAGACACAAATTCTGCTGCATACTTTTAGGCATCCGAAAAGTTGATGAATGCAGAAATTAGCATAGTGTGAATAAAAGGTAATTTCATTTACTTGTCCAAAAAAACAATATTTTCTATTATTATACCTATAAATTTCCTATTTATGCATATATGATTTTTCATATATACAACCATATCCATTCATTCATGCAGCAGTGAAGAAAAAGGAAAAGAAAAATAAAACTTTGTAAACTTGTTTCGTCTGCGTTTGGGCCCGTTCATTTGCATGCACACGACGCTGGCCAATCTTGTGAGTGAGCGGCGGGGCAGGGGCGGGGCAGAGCTGGGGGTATTCAAAAATGATGGCTGTGCCAAAATTCACACATAATTACAAAGTGAGATCGAGGCTGGGAATATGAGATGGGCTGCTGCCATTCGCCCCTTGCAGTTTATGCGCATGATTTATATATATGCAGCCAGGGCCTGCGCCAGGACGCCAGGCACTGCTGGCCGCGGTTGCTGCCCGCTTGTGGGCGTGGCAAGCAGACCGCTTGTGACTTTCGCAACAACAACGAAAAAAAAAAAACAACAACAAAAACAAACAAACGAGGCGAAAGCAAGAGGCCAGGACGCAGCAATCGTTGACGGCCGGCATTTATTTACTTTTTGATTACGAATACACGTAGCTCCCCCCGCTCCCCGCCCCCCGCCGCCCGCCGTCCTCCACAGCTGCTGGCTCCTTGGCTGCTGTGCGAAACACTTAACGCCAAAAGTGAGCAAAACAACACTTGCTCTATTAACGCGTCTGCGTGGACCAGTTCGCCGAGCGGTAACCGCGCGAGCGCGCGACCGTCTGAAAATTTATTGAAAAGCATTAAGAGGAAGCCGCCGCAGTGGCCGCTGTTGCCGCTGTTGCCGCCGTTGCCACTCGTTGTCCGTTAACGAGAAACGACGGCAGCAATCGCCGTTGCCATCGCCATCGCCAGCTTAGCCCAATGCATACGTGTGGCTAATTTGCGGTTGCCCGAATGATGATTTACATAGGAGCAGCATCTCGCACAGAAAGCGAGAGCTACCAACAGAACCCAAAATCAAACCAAAAAAAAAAAAAAAACAGAAGTTGAAGAAGAAGCAACCGCAGCTTGAACTTTGCACATGCAAATTATAGAAATTTCATCGTGGCGCTGGCAGCTTAAACAAATATTGAGATAGTCTCGCGATATCTGGACTGTACACTATCATTAGTTCTGCTGCCTCGCATATTCAAATGCAATAAATCGCCAAAGGTTTTCAGCTTATTTCAGCCTCTTTTTTCAATCAAAAATAAATAAAAATGCTAAAGCCACAAATTCTGGTTAGACATTGCCGACTCACAGCTGGCAAATATTGAATACACTTTAAATAGGCAAAATTGTTGAACTAGTCAATATGCTCATGAGACTAGATTTGGACGGAGATGATGAAAGAGTAGCGTTTGTAGTAGATAGAGAAAGACCCTGAAGATCCTTGAGAAAACTTTGAGTTGATTGATCAAGTGATATGGACAATCGGTATAGGGTCAGTCCGGTATCTTTTGCAATTGCATTTGCAATCCCATATATATAAGTATATATATCTAAAGCGGGATCAATATACGATTACTATATATATTTATATACAGTTCAGTCTCGATGATTTGTACCCGCTAAATCGAAAATCGCCATAAAACGAAGAAAATTGTTTCCCTTTGAAAAAATTCGTTCTCGATAATTTGTATTTCTTATAAATCGAAAAAAAAAAAAACAAAATTTATCTCTTTGCCATTGCGAATTATTGGGACCCGACTGTATATAGTATATGGTAAATGTTCGATTCATCTAAAGTTACCCTATACCAATTGTTCGGTTCAGTTGATTGATCTACTCAACTTTCTGTCAACTTCAGCGTCGTCTTCCATCTACTATGCTGACAAAGCTTTCATTATCCTAGTTCGCATATTGGCTTATCAACTAAAAGGATTTAGTCATAATTAAAATACAAGTGTATTAGCCCTACACGATTAATTTTAACTAGCCTAATCAAAACTAAACAAATTTAGCCAAAACGAAACTTTTTCTTGTTTTCTCTTAAAACATTCTTAAAGCATAAGACCAACATTTATTGCATTCTGACTAATAAGAAAATATTTTGATGAAATCTAGAAAATGTTACAAACTATAATCAATATTACTGACAAAAAACTATTTTCAATATGGTTGTGGTCATAATTACAGAAAATCCCACTCGCTGAAGTAAATAATATTTTCTATAGTTCATATAGTTTCTAGTATTGCTGGCATGTTTAGAAAAGAGGTTATTTAATAGATTTTTAACACATCTGATTCAAAAGGAAGATTTTCACCTTACAGCATATGATAATATATGATGATATATGATTCCGAACATCGTTCTTTAAGGCATCAGCCTAGGAGAAAATGGCAGCTATAAGCTATTATATGATAGCACATATCTATGTATATATAAAATTCACATAGATATGTATATATGTATAATATGATAATATCATTTGTCTTTTTTTTACAATCAATTTGTATATATGATATACAGTACTATATAGAAACAGACAAAGGTCACTTGTGGCGTACGCAAGCTGATAATACTCTCTTAGCTAGTGTATTGTAAATCCTGAAAGGGCTTCACGTTTTTTTTTTCCCCCAACGCATGGAATGCAACAGGAAGGCAAAGGAAGACAAAAAACGCGAACACTTTGCTAATTTTATGCTAGACGGCGTTAATATCAAGCTGCCATTTATGGCTTCCGTTTTGGGGCAGCAGCCGCATTTAGCTGATGAGCCAAACAACAGCTAGCTCAAGAGACAGACAAACAGACAGACATGCGAACAGAGAGAGCTAGAGGGAGAGAGAGAGCGTCAGATTGGGGCTGCCTGCAAATAGAGCTACTTAATTGAAGGCGCCAACAAGCAGCGGGCGGTTGTATTTGGGGCGTGTGGGCGTGGCACTGGTTAAAGTCTATACGCAATTGCTGACCTGCTGTGCAGCTGTCGGCTGTTAACAAGGCGAGCAGACGATAAAAACAAAAACAAAATTGAGGAGAACACAAGTTCGAGTTTGTTGCTTAAGTCATTCGCTGGTTAAGTTCGTTGCTTAAGTCATTCGTTGCGAACTTTTTGTTTCATTCGCTTGCGCGTTTTCAATTAAAAGCGACGCTAATTTTATCGAACAATGCTGCAAATTTTATGCGCATTTAACAAAGTCGTAATTGATTGTACAAAAGTGAAGGCGTGAAATGCCGCCAGCAGGCAGTCCGCCAGTCGGACAATCGGACAGATGGACAGCTGGACAGCTGGACCAGTTGGCCAGTCGAGCAGCTAAATTGACAACGAGTACGAATGCGAGTACAAGTACGAGTACGAATGCGAATGAGTACTTTATTCATTCAAGCACTCCCCGCGCATAATTCGCATTATCCCAGACGCTGCGGCACAAAAAGAAAGTGCAGCTTAATCGCTCAATTCACGCGACAAACAGCGAAGAAGAAGATGAAGATGAAGATGGAGCAGCAGGAGAAACGGATGAAAAAAAATGGCAACAAGCAAATGTTTTAAATATTTTCGGTGCATT